GGCGGCGGCGGCAACAACAATACTACAGCGAGAATAAAAGTTACGCCTTCTTTCTTTGTGTGAACATTTGGACGGCATTATGCAAATCTTCCCACATAGTGATGTAGGTATGTGGGGGCGTGTTAGAACGAGCCGTTTTAGGTAGGCGTGGTTGACTCTTAACTTTTATAAAGAATATCTCTTTGGATTTGAGACTTTAGTCTTTGCAACTTTACAGATCTTCTTTATGCACCAAGAGCTTGTAATACTCCAAAGAGAAAGGAAAAATTGAAATCGCATCATATGACCTCTTTAAAACTGTAGTGAGAACTAACCAGTGCTGAAACAGGGGGTTTCATGACCCTTTAACCCTAATCAAACACATCTGATGATAGCCTAATAATGTAACGAAATAAAAATACGAAATATCTCGTGTTGTTGTTCAGAATATAAGCATAATTTGCAACTGTGATATTGATTTGTACAAAACAGGTAAATAAACAATAGGAAATGAAAAAGACCTTAGAACTTAGAACTTAGACGCCATATTGAATTTAGCAAACTGTGAGGGATAGATTATAATATCTCTAAAGGTCCTAGATCACTTCAAGCTAATTTTATGGAGTTTTTCTCAACCGAAACTACTACTTCTTTTTTTCGAAAAGACCTTTTGTCAGTTTCGTGATCCACCGAACAACGTGATCCAAACAACAATCCACCGAACACGCTGTACTTCTATCTCAGCCTTGTTTTCAGTCCTGTCATTCATTAAATATGGCTCTACCCTAAGGTCTAAAACTTACATTTTAGACACAATATTGACAGTTACTTGATCTACCAATAAAAATAGTTCAATAAGAAGCCAATAGCAAAATAAGCATGCTGTGTTTCTCCAAAAACAAGGTTTCTGAATGAATCAGTGTTTTGAACGAATCGGTTAATTGAATGATCCATTGACTCACTCCTAATACACAAGATGTCTCCTGGCGTAACCTGCAGACAAGAATCAAAGAATTTTAATTCATGCATTATTAGGAAAAATCAACATATTTTATTAAAAAACAAGACTATTTTTAGGACTGACTGGTTTAAGGTTTAATTTTTGTTACAGACTTAGTAAATCGATCAGGTGATCTATGTAAGTAGCTTACAACTAATTTAATATTTTTGGGGTAAATGTATCTTCAAAAGAATATCTAAAACTCATTTGATGTATTTCCCCGAAACTACTTTACCTAATTAAAAGTGATGACACGTCATTCGGGTACCGGTGACAAAGAGAAATACCACATAACTCTACATTCATAGACATAACCGACTGTGCTTATGTAAATTCTGTGTGTTTTTGACATAACCTTGTGTGTATTTGACAGTTTAAGCGCAATAAAACATGAAAGAGAACTTCTTTTAGTACTTACATGTTGTGTGAAAACAGCTGCTTTCTGTGGATGTGTGCGCTCAGAAAACTGTGTATCAGAAGTTTAAACTGACTGTCTTTAAAACGCATGCAAATAAGTTTTAAGCGCGACAGACATGATAATCAAAACCAAACTGATGTTTTGGCACTGGCAGAGCATCCAAGGCACGAGCTATAAAAAAGGGGGCGGGGAGAAGCAGCTCATGGGCATTTTCAAAATGATATAATAAATGATCTGTGGGGTATTATGAGCCGAAACTTCACAGGCACATTCTGGGGACACCTGAGACTTATATTTCATATATGTCATAGACATAATATGTACCCTTTAAACATAACCCTGCATATCACAAGGTAACACATGGCACAAACTTGTTGGGAAAAAAGACCAATACAAAGTAATTTGGGCATTCAACACTTTATTCACAAAGTAATGAGCACTATCAAATGTTCACTGGTAAACCAAAACAAAAAATATAGGAATGATAAATCTATAGAACTTTACAAGACTTTGTTAAAACCATCTCATCTTTTTTTTAATTTTTTTTATTCCTATTTGAAAGTGCCAAAGGAACATTTCTCCTTCTCTCTGAGTTGTCTCCTATCCTCCAGTTAATGCACAGTACATCTTTACAATAATTATGGTGGTATTTAAAACAACCATACACAATCTCAGACAAAACTGCTTTTAGTACAGCCACGAGAGGTGAGGGGTGGATGTTGTACATTGATATGAAATATGTGAACACAATGACCTGTACTGATGAAGTATCCCAGAGTAAGTGGACTGATCAGGGATCAGATTATTACCCTCTTGAACAATAGAATCACAATCATCAAAGAACCAAACTGATCTCAAAACAGGGATGGATGAAATACATCAGGAAGGTGGATTAATAATTTAAACAATCTTAGATATGTCACCATAACAAACTGACTGTGTATTAAAGAACTGTTCAAATATGCTGCATAAATAAACCTGAAGCTGGAGTGAAATCTTTATGTCTGGTGGTCAGTTTAGCTTCAAATGTGTAATAAAAATATCCTTTAACCATTTACATTGCAAACACATTAAAATACATACATCCATTTAATATTTTTGCTCTGATATTAGTAGCATTGTGTACAGCAAAGGTTTTAAGAACAAGCTAAGGTTACAAATATGATGTGGCATGTTCGGTACATCAAAATTTCTTTCTCAATGTGCTTGGGGAAAACATACAATTTTGTCAAATACAAATAATGACCGATACATCAAATTAACTGTTTTTGTTTTTGTGGTTAGTTGGTTCAACTCATTATGCTGCAATAACAGCAAAGAAATTGTAAGAAACTTAGATTTATTTCTATTGAACAAAAAAAACTGTCCAATATTTAAGATTAAACTAAATAATACTATAACATACACTGGGAGCAACAAATGAAATCAGAATGCTCTCAAATTCACTTTTGACTTCAGATACAGCGTGTTCACACTCACACAGCACGCAAACACACATTCGTCATTGACCTGTTTGAGGTTTTGTTCAGTGAAGACTGTAAAAGACATCGTCCCAAAAAGTGAGACACCCTCTGGAGACACCAAAATGAGAAAAGCAGCCATCAAGAATTATGGTGCAAAACCGGTTTCAAACTGAATCAAGTATGAACGGTCACAACAACTCAACCCTTGTGAAGTTTTACTGCTATGAATTTTAACCCCCAACCTTCCCAAATCCCATCAAAAAAGATGAAAGAATAAAAACAGAGTAAAGAATCTAAGTTAAAAGATAAAAATGTGCTCTGTTCAAAGCCTAGCTGATCTCATGGACAAGTTGGGAAAACAGTCCGACTGTAGATGGAAATGTCGCTGGGTGTCGCCGCGCTTCTGAGGCCAGTCCATAATGGAGTGAGGGAACATATGGGAGAAGAAAAACAAACCGAAGGACTGTACGCTGGCATTAAACATCCTCTTTCTTCACTTCCATCAAATTTAGAAGTTTTCTGCGATGTCTCTCTGAGGAGGGACGGTATGAGAGAGGAATGTTACATGAGAGTCAAACCGTTTCCTGCAAAATGTCATTGCAGTCACAGTGGGCGGAGCTTAACCTTCCTGTCCGTCTCTGAACAAACTCCTCCTCTTCCTCCTCATCATCGTCCCTCCCTTCTATTTGTTTGTCCCCTTTCAGTTCTCCAAGAGGAGTGTCCCAGCCCGCATTGTCCACCTGCGACCCCGCAGGTTGCATGGGATGTGATGAAGGCGAAGGAGGAGAAGAAGAAGAGGGACGTTCCACTTGGTTTAGCCCCAAAGCGTCTCTTAAGACCTCAGCGCCAGCTTCCTTCAATAAAAGAGCTGGCGTGGCCAGAGTGGTCAGGTAGATGGCTGAAGCGGATTGGCTGGAGGACACCAGGGCGTGGCCTCTTCCTGTTTGTCCATCGTCAGGGCGGCGTGGAGAGTACGGCTGGTTGTCATTGCTGAGGAGCGTGAACATGTGGTCCACGGAGCGGCTGAAATGAGCCCAGTCCTCGAGGCTGAGGGTGAAGTTGAGTTTGAGATCGTAGGCGTGCTCATCAAGTCTGTACAAAGGTTCAAGTTTGGACCAGTTCGGCTTGCCGGGAAACATGTTGGTGTCTTCCGGGACGCCCTCGTTCCATGAGTTATCCTTCCCATCCTTCCCATATCTGTCCTCTGTGGGGGAACACGGCCAAAAATGTTAAACATTTTCGCCCAGCGACGAAACAATTTAAGGCACTCATTAAAAGTGGATGCATCAAAATAGAGATGGATGCTTGTGATCGGAAAAACAGAAAATAAAGTACAATAAAAAAAACCCTGAAAAGGCTTGTGATGGTGAAGGAAGGAAGAACATAAATGTTTCAGGTTTCAAATGAAATGAGGTGAAGATGACGGGGGGGCGTGTGACGGGAATCTTCCCTCGTGCTCAGAAACAAAACTGCTATTTTTTCCAAACAGTTTCCATGCAGATAGACGCCTCTACAAACTAATGCTGTATCATGCAGGCCAGGCAGATGCATTCAAGAGAAAGGAAATTAAAGAGAGAGCGAGAGAACGGTGATTCAGACAAGGTAGTGGCTTGGTGGCATTGTATCCTATGGACGAGAAGCAGAATTATTATCCAAACTCACAGCGATTTGGAGACAGGCTTCCTCACTTTAGGCCATTTCCGGCGCTGAAACTGCCTAATGCGACAAGCAACGATAAGACAAACTGTTACACCGCCCCCAAACTCAAGCATGTGATAGAGACACAGCCAATCAGAGAACTTAAAGGCTTTCACATTCACACAACACCCAAGGCTGAATACATGCAAGGCACAAAACAGGGCTAGAGAGAGGGAGACAAAACAAGAGAGGCAAAGACACAGAGACAGAGAGTACAGAATCTGAAGGAGAAGACATCTGATCTGTCAAGGAAGTAACTGGGAGTTTAAATGTTTGCAATTGGACCCACATACTGAATGGGTGGGTTTGGTTGGTCATGAGGTTTGTAAGAACTAACTAGCTTAGAAAAAGGTCCATATATCTACACTACCGATCACAAGTTTGGGTTGGTTTGATTTTTTAAATATTTTTGAAAGAAGTCTCCTATGCTCACCAGGGCTCCATTTATTTGATCAAAAATTCAGGAAAAACAGTAATATTGTGAAATATTATTACAATTGATATATTTTAGTATAGGAATATATTTTAGTTTTAACTTTTAGTTAAAGTTTTAACGTATTAACTTTATTTTAACTTTATTCCTGTGATGCAAAGCTGTATTTTCAGCATCATTACTCCGGTATTCAATGTCACATGATCCTTCAGAAATCATTCGATTTGCTGATCAAGAAACATTTGAAAACAGTTGTGCTGCTAAATATTATTTTGTGGAAACTTTTTTTTTTAACTGAAGAATACAGTTCAAAGGAACAGCATGTATTTGGTATAGAAATCTTAATAATGCATCCTTGCTAAATAAAATTATATATAATATATATAAGTCCTACTGACCCCAAACCTTTGAATGGTAGTGTGATATTAATAATCCTTTATGTGATAATACATTTATCCCTAGGCTGGTCATTTGTTAATCATATATGGTCTTCCATTCTCTTGAAATCCATTTTGCATGCATAAAATGTTAGATTTAGACTTAGTTATTGTTTAATTGTAGTATTTTTGTTGTTGTTGATTATGTTTTTCTGTTGGAACAGGCAGACTGTAATTAATACTTCAACTTCTTTCTCAGTTTGTGAAAATGACAGAGATTGTTATTGCTTTTACTGATTAATCAGTGCCACCAGTTAACAATTTCAGTTTTTTTTTTTTTCCATTTCTTGTACATCATTCACAGTTTGAAAATAACAATACTATACATTAAAGAAAATAATAGACTTAGTTATTGTTTAATTGTAGTATTTTTGTTGTTGTTGATTATGTTTTTCTGTTGGAACAGGCAGACTGTAATTAATACTTCAACTTCTTTCTCAGTTTGTGAAAATGACAGAGATTGTTATTGCTTTTACTGATTAATCAGTGCCACCAGTTAACAATTTCAGTTTTTTTTTTTCCATTTCTTGTACATCATTCACATTTTGAAAATAACAATACTATACATTAAAGAAAATAAAAATCGTCAGTGTGTTGTACACTGAAAAAAATGATACTACATTTTTTAAAGGTAAGTGGTTGCAAACAATTTATTTTAGCTACATTAAAAAAAATGTTGAAAGTCAGTCAACTAAATTGGTTTATTTAAATGTAGCTAAAATAAATTGATTGCAACCACTTACCTTAAAAAAAATGGTTAAATTTAATGAATATTTTTTTTCAGTGTAGTGAATTTTAAAATGAAATCTGAGTTATTATTGATTTGATTAAATAATCATTAAATATTTGTTGTTAATTTTGTAACATTTATTAGCTTTATTTTATATTACGTGGAAAATGTTCCTTCATATTATTATTATTTTTTTTTATTATAGTCAGATTAATTCTCCAATGTGTTCCCACCTTAATTATCAGTATCTGCAAAATGTATCTGCCAATCTCTAAAAACAAGCAAAAGTTGTGTTTACAGTAAAACCCTTACAATTAAAGTCTGTGGAGCAAAGGCAGGATACTCTGTGCTCAGTAACTTACACATAATAAATATAAGGATAACAGAAAGAGACTTTACATGCAGAATACGTCACCTACAGGTTATTAACTGGAAGTTCATCCACCTAGAGTAGTAGTCTCTCCATTAAAGGGTGTTTTAGACAGCTGTATAACTCAAATAAGGCATTTCTGTACAGAGGAATTAATATAATTGCTTTTAGAGATACCAGAATATCTTGCCCCAAAGACTTCCATTGTATGTGCATTATAGCAGTGGTTCCCAACCCTGGTCCTGGAGGCACCCCAACACTGCAC